CATTTTTAGCTAAAATTCTTGATCTGTTCGCGGTGCAAGTTGACCTTGAGCACTGAAGGCCCGCCCGCTCGTGTAGGCCCTTTTCGCGCGCTTCAATTTGCCTCACTTAGCGTGTGCGGACTAGGTTTCTATGCGTTATTATTCTAAGGGTATAACTTTATTTTTAACTTTACATTAACTCTGATTGACGGAGTCACGGTTTTTATATAAAAATACGGATCAAGAAGACGCTACAAGTCGCTAAATATTTATGTTTATTGGGCAAAAATCAAATTTTTGCCCAATAAACATTCATAAAATTGCCTAGAACTAGCGACCGAATCGCTAAAACGGCAACGGTGGCCGAGTATGCGCTTCGTCCGACCTGCGCCAGAGGTTCGACGTCCTCGATGTCGCGCGGGTCGTTGGCGCCGGCCGGCACGGCCCAGGCGGCCAGCAGGCGCGCGCGCGTCCGCGCCGGCGGCCGCCACTCCTCCACGAAGACCATGGCGCGCCGCGGCTCCGCGCCCGGCCGCGGCCGCTGCGCCACGCCCCACAGGTCGTCGGCCCGCGCTGCCCACTCCGAAATGTTGCTGGGAGACGAGGCAACTTCTCGTCAGTGTTATGCAAAAAGGGCGAAAGCGCCGTTTCGAACAATTTTCAGAGGATGACGCTTTAGGTATTTGCATGTTTTAGGTACGTAATACGTACGTAAATATTTTAAAACAGTTGTTAAAGCCTAAAACGTGCTCCCCTGAAAAATTATTCGAATTGGCCCTTTCGCCCCATCTCCGAAACACCGATGTTATGATCGAGGGAAGGTCCATTCACCTCGACCGATAGTATTTCGAGTGACACTACTGACCTTGGGGCGTACGCGTCGTGTAGGTTGTAAAGCAACGATGGGTTATGTTTTAGCGCGATTGATAGAGTGTGCACCAACACTAGCAAGGAGTCGGCGAAGGCGGACGCGTAAAGAGGCCAGGCGCGATCTTTCCACACCTCGTCTAAGAACTCGCGAAGCCAAGCTCGTTTCTCGCCCAAGATCTTAGTTTCGTTCTGCTGCGGGGTGAGACCTGCGCGGCCGCGCCATGCGTACGACAAACTGAACACGCGCATATTTTCAGCTTCAACGCAGTGGATCGGGTGCCACTCGCGGAAGATCCATGCGTAATTTGCGTCCGTAATTTTAAGAGAGTGCGCCGCACACGCTATCAAGCCGGCTGTACGCGCTCCTGCGTTAACGACGAACACCCGCGCATTGACCACAATCAACTTTTCCAGAGCACTTCGAACATTCGAAGGGTCTGCCACGTCCAATTTCTCTTCCTTGTAAACAAGTGCTCTGTCGGCGAGCAGGGCAGTGGAGAAGTCTCTCGCTAGTTCAGTTTTCTCCGAAATTATAGCGATCCGCTTCCAGCCATGCAAGGACAGGAAACGTCGTATAGCGAGAGCGAGGCCGTCTTGGCGGCCCGTGACGGCGGTGGTGGCGGGAGCAAGACGCGTAGCAGCCGAAGGCACACCGAACAGCGCGAGCTGCGTTCGAAAATGACGCGCATTTTCCGCTCCGATCTCGCTCGCTGAGGCGCCCGCGCCGCCCATAGCTGCCACGCCTGCCAAAAAGAGGTAACTGGGGTGCCGTGATCTTTCTTCTATCTCATGGGCGACAGAATTCGTGTCATTGCAATTTATCGAATCTTGATACCAAGTTATGTTGGGTATATTTGTCTCCGTAGTTGCTATTTCTATTTTAACCAAGTTTCCAATAAGAGCATATTCTTCAAAGTCTGGGTCGTCCTTGCATATTAACTTCGTTATTATAGGTATTCGTATGTCCTTAGCAACGATTGCCCATTCTTTGATTTGTTCCATATTATTAAGAAGCCACGCACACGACGCCTCGACACTGTTGTTAATTTTCCCTTCCAAATCTAAGAGCTGACGAAGCTGGTTGGCGTTGGGTTTCAACTTCCTTATCGTGTGGTCAATGAGTGGAGCATAGAGTCGAAAGTTTTCAAGGTCACTGAGTTGTATTGCAATAGTGCTGTCGAGGGCATCGTTGCAGTCTGTGTCTGCAACACAGGGTGGGGGCTGGAGTGCCCGCACACCAACGCTATTCACAGACCATAGTTCGTAGTCTATAAAGATGACAGATGTAGTGTTGTCATTTAAAACGCGGTGAAGGGTGGCGCGATCGGTGGGTACTACTTGTAGCCTCACGCCTGTGGCATTGGCTCGCGTCTCCAATTCCTCCACCACTGCGGACGTACCACTCAGCGTCACGTCCATCACTCGAATACACGTCTCGTTCTGCGGGCAGCTCCATCTGTTTCGCAAACAGTTTGTTATAAGAACATAATGATGGATGGCTCTTCACATGGCTATTTGTATTTGCCTATTTAATATATTTGACAAACAATCACCATTGTGTAGATATAGTATGGCTAACGAAAGATGAGACTAGAAAAACGCGGGAAAATTGAAAAAAATTTCGTATGGTATCACGGGTAGGTACTATTATAGACGGAAAAAATAATTTTGATACAAGATAATACAGGGATAAAATTATTTTATGAATTTTGTTGTATGAGTGTTCATAATTTAGGCAAGTTAGAACCAATTGGGTGAACTTGTTGGCGGAGGTATATACCTCCGCCAACAAGTGAAGCATCGAGTATGTAACCAGAAATAGAGACGAAATGTCATTTAATTTGTTTGAAAACTATTCTGCTATATCATTACTGTGACAGCTGCGCTCCGATTGGTTAGCCCGGGTTCGAAATAATTGACGGGTGTCGTCAAAGGGTGTCGTCAACTGTTTCACTTCAAATCGACCAGTTCAATTGAGCTTTGCTATAATGGGCGAAAATTGCAAAATTACATATTCAATATTTAATTACCGATGAAATGTGATTCCGTTTGTTTTGAAATTAGATGCTTTGTGTTTTTCCCACACCACCGAATAGAACAGCACGGCATTGTTAGAGATATTATCTTTATAACAATAAATACAGAATATTTTTCGGTCAGTAGTTGGCCTGTCTATTTTACAGTGCAAACGAGAGTTGTTAAGAGCTGTATCGCTAATGTGTTACGAGAAATATATGGCCCTTATTTCGTTTCTATTTCTGGTTATATACTCGATGACCTGAAGGCTCTGTAATGACATAATTTAGAAAATAATCAAGTACCTGAAATATTAAATGGCCCATTCTATGTATGTTTATTTGCACACAGTATATACTTTAGAATATACAAAAATATATAAGAATATAAAAAATAAATTATATATAAAAAATTAACACATTTGTTGTAATTTTATAATTTATTTATGTATTATAATCAGAATCAGATTATAAAAAAAATACTTCAAATGATGTATCGAAACTACTGCTCAGCAGTCTTATTTGTTCTAATTTGTTCTTTGTTCGCCTATTATTTTAAGAATTTCTTGGATTTCTTTGATCCGTTGGGTTCCAACATCCAAATCTCCTATAAATAAATATATCGGGTTTTTCAACAAGAACTTTGTTTTGTAAATCAAAATAAAACAATAAATTTACATGACAATGATTCAAATTTTTATTGAATTAAAAAAAGTAAGGGTTGGCAATTATGAATGAAAAATGATATCTGACAAATGTCCACCACGACCACAGTTAGAGATGCCGATTCTTCATCAAAGTTTTTAATCACTTTTGACAAAATGGTGGGTCTATTTCGTTCGTTACTTCACGAATTTTGAGTTTTAAGGCTGCAATCGTTTCGATTGGCTCCGTATAGACTCTGTCTTTAACATAACCCCATAAAAAAGAATCCAGCGGTGTTAAATCACATGATCGAACTGGTTACTTAACGGCAGAATTTCGTGAAATTATGCGATCGAGAAATTTGGTTTGTAATAAATTCATTGTTCCGGTGTCTTGTGACGTGAATTTATTGTTTTATTTTGATTTACAAAACAAAGTTCTTGTTGAAAACCCTTTATTAGCATTATAAATAAAATTACTAAATGATTAGCAAAAATTTACAAATATAAGCAAAGATCTAAATTATTACGTCGTCCTAACCAATGAAATAGGAATATTCTTGAGTTTGCTTGAAAACGATTCCTCTCTCTTCTAGTTTCTCTGTCAATTTAACAATCATAGTAAAAAGAAGCTTTCGCTTATCGCTTTTCATAGTCTTCGTCACATTATTATTAAGAGAACAACAAAAAATTGCAGATAACACAATCCAACTGACACATCAACTTCCGAATAGTGATATAAATGTTGGGGTAGTTAGCTAGATTAAAATAAAACGCAGTCTCATCTTTCGTTAGCCAGACATTAGCTAGACATTGCACGCCCTGGGACAAGTTTTGAGGCTTTTGTTGGCACTTGACATGGCTTTTTGTATTCGCTATTGGGTATTTGTTGTATAAAAATATTTGACGTACCTACAGGTAAACATGCAAACACTGACAAATATAACCGTTTACATATGGATCCAAATAAGGTGTGAAAAAACGAATATAATCGTAGTGTGGACGGTTTGCGTATTTGCCTATTTGGCTCCTTTGATGTGCGTGGAGAAACTTCTTTGTTTGCTATATTTGCCACATGTGTCACCAAGTATTTGCCTATTCGACAAATAAAGCAAAAACCAAACACGCGTTACCGCTGGTCGTTGTCTCGACGCACATCAAAAGAACCTATGGACAGGGACGCAAGTAAACTGTCCACAGGTAACCTATCACAAACTCGATTTTTTTTCCGAATTAACGTTTGTTCGAATTTTCATTATACCGAAAACCGAATTATAACGAAACCGTTGTTCTTTCAGGATATGTTGGATGTTTATCGCAAAGACACTATTAGATTTGGTTAGGTTAGGTTAAGTTAGGTTAAAAAGAAAACATTTTACTCTCAAAATTATTTTCGAGGTTATGAAAATTCGACCAAACGTTATTTCTGGAAAGTGTCTTTCCAGACTACTGATAGGCAACCTTGTCCACACTATGGTCCCACTCCTTAATTGGCTAAATACCTACACATTTAATACAGATAAACATGCACACACTGGCAAATATGACCGTCTTTGTAGACCTTAGACTGTTTTTTCCATCTCTAAGGTGTAGAAGGTCATATTTATCAGTGTCAAATATTTTTCCAAGTACATACAACAAACATTGGGTAAAGCATACGCTTTAGTCAACACAGGTACAAGTAGCCATGTGAATCCACCATTAGAGATAATTAGAGTGGTTCGAAAAGTCCAAGCTCAAATATTAACTTACGTGACATTTGAAGCGAATCCACATGTTCGAAGTGCGATTTGGTCTTTGTAAAACGACCAAGTATGGTATTGACTGCAATTGCGCTGGTGATGGACATTGGTCGAAAGACGTGTGTAGAGGCGTGCCGTGGCTGCAGTAGCCGCCCCGTACGGTTTTAGCCGTGGCCCGGCCATGTTGCACATTTCGTCAACAGTGCACGTTGAATCACACACTTCTTTTTCACCTGACCATTCTGCTCCCATGTGAATATACATTCTGTGAAAAGTATTGTGATATAAATAGACAACGTTTTAATTCACTTGTAAGTCATCTTTCAAGAAGAAACTTTTGACCGTTCCTCGCTTATATATATTCGATGTTGTAAAGTTTGTGAGACGTAATTTAACCGATTTTAAATTCACACCTAGTTCTCGCCGTACAACGTATTGGTACTTCCGAAACCAAGATTGGAATTGTTTAGAAATAGCCCTTACCATAGAGCAGTTAAAATATATAATCAAATACCTCCGCGCATTAACGATGAACAAAAAGGTAATTTTTACTTTACTAAACTAAAAAAATCCTAATTGAAAAAATGTTATTTCTCAATAAATGAATTTTTTAATGATGAAGACATCGATTTAAATTATTAATGACTATTTTACTATCTAATATATGTAAATGAAAGTAAAATTCTTAATCTTACGAATTACGAATGTTGAATTGTTCGTATCTGTTTATTTTAATTCACGTATTACTACTAATAGTCTTGTTAATAATATAAAATATTTTTCTCAAATATGCTCGAAAATATTTACATTAATTTCAAAAAACTAATACGGGAAGTTAGTCATTTAGGGACCGTGAGACTTCTTCCCGGCCAAGGCCTGCAAAGAAAGTATGAAAATCCATTACTGACCACTTTTCTACACTTTTAAATCTATATGAACTATCCAACTTGGAACTATCAAGAAGCTGCACTACGTAAACAGGCAAAGGAAAAGCTCATACACCCAACTCTGTCCAGTGTAAACATCGAGTATATAACCAGGAATATAGACGAAATGTCATTTAATTTGTCTGAAAACTATTCTGCCATATCATTACTGTGACAACTGCGCTCCGATTGGCCAGCCCGAATTCGAAACAATTGACGGGTGTCGTCAACTGTTTCACTTCAAATCGAGCAGTTAACTTGAGCTTTGCTATAATGGACGAAAATTGCAAAATTACATATTTAATATTTAATTACCGATGAAATGTGATTCCGTTTGTTTTGCAATTAGATGTTTTGCTGTTTTTCCCACACCACCGAATAGAACAGCAAGGCATTGTTAGAGATATTATCTTTATTACAATAAATACAGAATATTTTTTGGAATATACGGAGACGTACACACAGGTCATTAGTAGGCCTGTTTATATTTCAGTGCAAACGGGAGTTGATATTTATAAGAGCTGTATCGCTAATGTGCTACCAGGAACATATGACCCTTATTTCGTCTCTATTTCTGGTTATATACTCGATGAGTGTTAGTAATTGCGACAATGAGAAATACCTACGTATACCGCTTATTTAAAAAAAATTATAATTTAACATTAGCGATGGGAAATTTGTTGCCGGCTATGAACAAAGTAAGATACATGAAAACTTATGAAACTTTCATGCAATGGAGAGGCGAAAAAAAATGCTAATTCGTTTTTAGAGGCTGTGTTTGTTATTTTTTTTAGTTATTTTAGCAAACTTGCTAAAACTCAAACGCTATCAACATTATGGTCCACGTATTCCATACTCAAATGTAGGTACAGTCCAACGTAAACACAGCGTCATCATTGGAATACAGTAACTTGAAGTTCCTACTGAAGCGCCAATCTGCTGGTTACAAAACTAAAAAATCAAAAATGTTTACCTACTGCAGAGAACATATTGAAATTTTTAGAATTTCGTAGCAACTAAGGTAAGGTTTGTTGTGGAGTGTGTGCGTTATTATTATTATTAGTAAATTAATCGCAATGAAAGTTACTCTTCAACAACGAGATCAATGTACTACAATGTCTTCAATTACGTCCCACGTGGTGAGCGACAAAGCCTTTACTCGTATTAAAAGCCGTGATGTAGGAAGGTAGGTATTTAAAAAAACGTGAAATATGACGTCATATCGGTGTTTTTTGTATTTTTCCTTTTTTCAGTGCCATTTTTTGTTTCGGAAAGCGTGGAACGACTGCCTTGTCAATTTTTTCATCCCTAATTACTGGCCTTGTAGAAATAAGAGATATACTTACGTTTCTAGGGCGGTCCGATCAGTACTGATATCCTTTAACTTCTGATTCCCGCTGATGAGATGACAGAGTCGGTGCGGACCTGGCCGCAGTTGCACCAGCTGGTACCCGTGCACGTGTCTCAGCACGGCGACCACGAGGGCCGCGGCCACGCGCACCGGCGCGCGCGCACCCCACAGTACATCTACTTTGCGGTTCTTAGCGTCAAATAACACGTTGAGTGGATCTGGGTAATATTTATTAAATCACATCAATCAAGTAGTCTCAATAAATGTACTCGAGATGTTCTACTACAGTTATGTGAGCCGACTAATCGTTATTTTCAAAAGATCACTAAATTTAACAAAAATAGAGGATTATCTAATGTGACTTCTAGAACGATAAATTCAATTGTTTGCTGTATAGCTTTTGAAAGTATTGCACTTTACAATTGTTTTGTTTTGACAATCTCCGTGTTCGAGTGGCTTGCACACCGGTTTTCACGGGTTCGACCCCTGGCCGGGTCATTTTAGAAAATTAACTTTTCTATATGGTCACAGGTCTGGGTGGCACCACATGCCGTCGTTGTAGTCAATCGGAATTTACGAATTGTATGTACACTCTTAATAATTTTAAACGCTGTAAATCACAATAGCTTGTAGTACATGTATGTACTTTCTTTTCTTAAATAAATTATAATAATTATTATATTGGTTCTGAAATCCATAGCATAACGATGCCTTACTTTCTAAAACTCGCATCTTATAAATTATAGTATATATTAGTCATATGGCATTCGTCAACACGCCCACTTAGCGCCGCGCGAGGGCCGACTGACTGACGGCCCGCGGGCGCGCGAAGTATTTACGAGAGAGCGAGAGCGAGAGGCATATATATAGTCTCTCTCTCTCTCTCTCTCTCTCTCTCTAACTTATGTTTGGGGTGTACGTTATATTTTATAAATTTTGTATAAAGGTAGGGGCTGATTTCGAAATAAATGTTAATTGCGAGCTAGACATCGAGTGTTTTACTTCTCCAACTAACAACCCTCCGAGCATCCGCTACAGATGATTATTCAGGAACTTTCTATTTATTTATTTTTTCTTGTCAAGGGTTTTAATTTGGAAGCATTACTTTAAGAATAGATAAAAGCCAGTGTGTGAATATGAAGGAAATGTGATGTGAAACTAGCTTGCAAAATTTGTAATGATCCATTTTTGGCCATTCAGTAACTTTGTGCTTTAAGATACGAGTTTGAGAAAGTAAACGACAAGTGTTTTAGTTACTTATTTTGGGATCAGACCAACGTATGTGATGTTATCTAATATGTATTTATTTTCATTTAATACTTACTTAATAGAAAACTTTTTACTGCATTTTTTTTCGGATCTAAATCTCGTGTACATTAATTTGTTTATTTAAAGAAATCAACGTTGTGGTTTTGTTGATTTTTGAAGAAGAACTTAATAATTCATTTTCTTATAGTTTAAAACACTATGTGGTCTGTGGTTTAAATGAAAGAAGGATGGCGACATCCCGTGTATTTTGTGACCCAGTGTTTTTGACGTCGTGCTATACGGAGACCTATCAATACTTGTGATTCATTATCAGAGCATCAAAAAAGCTGTTATACATTGATACAGGTTATGTTTATAACATTGACCTGTATTTCGCTTCTGATATTTGTTCGTAGTAGCAGAAAACAACAAATTTTCAGTTTGTTCCCAAAAATAATAAATAACTTCCCAAATATTTCCAAATGTGCCAAACTCTGTCACTTATCATGTTCAGCAGCAATGAAAATAAACAAAAATTAATTCTGCCCAAATGTTATCTAAGAGTTACCTAAGAGTATATGTACTACTGGTGATGTACCTTATCTATAAAATAAATAAATAAATAAATTACCAAATAAATAAGCAAATGGCAGAAATCTGCCACTAATGGTCACACTGTCTCAAAATCAATGTGACATTGACATTGGCAATTGGTCTCTTGTCAAATCGTTCCATTGTAACTTTCATTATCTCTCATTTAAATATTGTCTAAATATTTTTGTCACATTGTGTTTTATTTTTTGCTATTCATTACTGTTCAATTGATTATTTGATTAGGTATTTTATAGCTTTAATGTTTTATGTGTGTACTATAAAATAACCAATACTTTAAGTAAGTCAACGTTCAATCATGCTTATAATGAAATATATATTACCTAATCTATAGTCGAACTGAAACAATTGCATTGTGTTCTTGCATTTATTCTAAAATACATTGTTTTGCAAAACAAAAAATAAAATGTAAAATTATAATGGCAAAGTTAATGAACTTCGTTGATTTTGGGTCAGCTTTCGCCATCCTTCTTTGAAAATAAAACAAAACTGTAAATTATTTAGGCTTTGTGGAAAAGAAAAGAATTTATTTTTACTAGTACAAAATATAGCAGGTAGAAGGAAACTCTCGCATAGAGAATAGCAATATCTCGTGCTATGTTGCTCTCGCTCAAGCCGCGCCCGGTCGTGTCAGCCATACTGATCGAGATATGTATTCCGACGTCTACATCTCCTCATGCCTCCAACCTTAGAATAATAACGCATAGAATGATAGTTTCATATCAAACGAACTGTCACAAGTGAGGCAAAAATCAAATTCATGTAGGCTAGTCTTAGTAGTAGGTTAATTTTCGGTTTTAGTGAATATTTATATAAAAATACAAGTTGAAACGCGTTGCTTCCTTGTGGAATGTGATGTTAGTATCTATTTTATGTTTGTCTGACGTATTTTTGCACTCATTTACCGCACAGTTCGTCATTTTTAGCTAAAATTATGGAGCTGTTCGTGGTGCAAGTTGACCTTGAGCACTGAAGGCCCGCCCGCTCGTGTAGGCCCTTTTGGCGCGCTTCAATTTGCCTCACTTAGCGTGTGCGGACTGGGTTTCTATGCGTTATTATTCTAAGCCTCCAACCATGCTCGCTTTAAATAAATTTGTGTCGGCTTTTGCCCAATAAATTTAAAATAATTGATTCCGATATAAAATAAAGCTAGAAGGAAATTCTACGTCTCCATTTACAGTAATTTTAAACGACGAACCTTGGTAAAAAGAAGCAATTTTACTTACCTGGTCGAAAATGGTTATGAAGTTTCTGGCAATATGGACCAACTGGTTCATTGTAATGTGATGTAGATAGACTATAATTGGCACTTATATTATCCGCTGTAGTGCCGCTATGTATCACCAATATGTATAGTATATAGAACGTGCATTGAATATTAACCATAGTCATTTTACTCATCTACAATAAAATTAGTTAGACAATTATTTAAATGAATCTTCATTAACTTTACAGGTATAGATATAACACCGACATTGCACTTTTTTAAGAGGTACGAGCACACGCATGCGCTTGTTCATCTTTTTGACTAATTCCGTTACATTTTTTTTTTGCTTTTGTGAAATCTGCGTTTATTTTTCTGTCACTAAAGATGAATCATCATGGCAAGTTACAGCGTCGAGTATTACTTGCAAATGATAAAAAAAATATCTAATTAGGTGTTTTATTGTGGCAATGATGCGCGCGTTGCGTCAATTTTACGGTTTACGTGGTCGTCCTTTCCAGTAACTATTCAAAGTTTGATGGCCAAATCTGCGAGTCTACCAGTTTAGTGAATCATCAGCCAATAACCGTACGTCAAAAAAACGCAAGATCTGCCGAAAACATCGCCGCTGTTTGTTCGTGAGAGTGTTCAGGAGAACCCGAAGCAGTCTGTAGTGAAAGTCAAAATAAAAACCAAAGTCTTTGACATAATTTATTCCATAGGTAAAATAAATGTACACTTGATAATGTCACTTTTAAGCTACTGCTCGTTCACTACGCTGACTTCCCTGAGAAGAACGAGCACAAAAAGCTCTAGGGATTGCTCTTTTCAAATAAACTTAAATGCTAAGGATATTAATGCACTTTGAATAAAATTTGTGTGGAATCTAGAGCCATGTCGTCTTTCCATACATCTTTCTATAACACGTAGTTTTCAATTTTGTAATATGACTTTTCAATTGAAATATTGTTAAAGTAGTTTTTAAACTTAGGAAACGTTAATCTATTATGCTCCGGAACTACAAAATACTATAAAAACGTATACAGTTCCCCATAAAAGAGTCGTTTACCTTGGTTAGACGAAATAGTGGTACCATAATTTGGATTTAGCTCTAAGGTAAATATTATGGATATCTTCTTATTGAAATTATGTATATTTTTACGGGCATAAAATATTTGAGTAAATGTACTGTGATGCCACAGTCACGATACCAGTTTCCTTAAACTTTTCTCTGAGAGAAACCCGTTTTAGCAATACAAATATGGCTTGTTTGCCTGCTATTACGTGCGCATCATTGCCACAATCGAACACCCATTTTGATAGTGAATTTGTATCATTTGCACAAGTTGCTCGACACTGTAACTTGTCATGATGATATTTTGTCTTTAGTGACTGAAAAATAAGCAACAGATTTGACAAAAGCAGCCCCAACACTCAACAACATGACCGCTATGAACTGTCAAAATCTACTCACCCTTGATGGAATTGGATGACCATCATGTAATAAAAGCACTTTTGACGTATAATTACATGGGGCTTTATTACCAAGGGTGCGAGTGAGATGGCTCCCTAAAGCATGGTGGGGTGATTTTGAGGTTAGTTTTCTCTACCTAATTTCGGTGACAATTTTTATTACTTGAATATTCTAGAATATTATCA